CGAATGACGCCACAAGTATATGGACTTTTGCTTACTCTTGTTGAGCCCTTTTTAAAAAAGAATTCGTTGAGGGAGCCTGTGCATCCGGAATGTCGATTAGCTTTGATATTACAGTAAGTTTGTTCATTTTAATAAATTTTTATTATGTCTTATTCTTTTTTCTTTTTCTTAAAGATATTTATCACAAGGAACTTCGTTTCAATCGTTGGCATGGTCATTTCAACTGGGGAAGGAAACGGTTAGGGGTATTATTCTAGAGATAGCTGAAGTCCTTTGGACGAAGTTAGGCGCTGTTTATGTATCTGAGCCTAATGAAGAGGATTTCAAGCAAATTTCTCAAGATTTCTGGGAACTGTGGAATATGCCCAACTGTGTTGGATCTATTGATGGGAAGCATATCTCTATTCGATGCCCACCTAAAAGCGGTAGTAAATTTTTCTACTCCAAAAAATTTTTTTTCTAATGTGTTGTTAGCAGCATGTGATGCACGATACCGGTTTACTTACATAGATATTGGTGCATGTGGAAGTCAAGTGATGGTGGTAAGGACTTTTATATTTGTGTATTCGTTTTTTTTTTTTTAAATTAATATTATTGTTTCTCATTTTTCAGGTGAGTCGATTGGGAAAGAGGTTGCTAAATCACAAACTTCCCATCCCTCCACCGAAAGACTTACCAAATACGCAACTAAAAACTCCATACTTCTTCGTTGGCGAAGCTGCCTTTCCTTTAGAGATAAATTTAATGCGCCCATACCCTGGGGGAATACTACCAAATGAAAAAGAGTTTTTTAATAAAAAGTTATCAAGAGTTCGTCGCACAATTGAAAATTCTTTTGGAATACTAGTAGCGCGTTGGCGAGTTTTACTAACAACATTACATTTATTTCCGGAAAATGCAGAAAAAATTGTTTTGGCGTGCGTTGCCTTACATAATTTTATTATGTTTAATAATGAAAATTCATCTTCGTATATTGCTAGGAACTATGCTGATTGGGAGGACTTTAATGGTGAATTTCATGACGGTTTATGGCGCAGAGAAGTTGAAAGTAATATCCTATCGATTATGCAATCTTCCAATTTGCATCATTACGGTGGAAGACTTATGCAGTTTTTTTTAAACACTTTTTAACACTTTTTAAAACATATTTTAAATTTATATATCTAACATCATTTCGAACTTGTTTATTTCTTTTTTAATAAAACTAAATGGGATTTCATATATTTCATTCGATTGTTTTTTATTAAAAATTCAAACTAAAATAATTCAGGTAGTTCAGGTACAGTAATTTGAAGCATTTTATGCATCTTTGTTATAATAAATATAAATATATATACTAAAACTACAACTAAAAAAATCAATGCTTCAAGCGTTTAAAAAAAAAATGAAAATAAAATAAGGAAATTAGGTTGAATTCTTGTCGTTTTCAATTTCATGTCTGCCTATTTTCTCGACGTAATCGATATAACTCCAATATCATTTTCTCTTGGAAACCGTCTTTAACTGATACTGACAGGTCTTTCATCAGACACAAAACCGTCGTCATAAAGGCTTCGTTAGTTTCACATCTTTCAGCCGGCGCCGTCATTTGCTTTTCTAAATTTTCCATTGTTGCGCCGAATTTTTGGTAGAGACTTTCTAGGCAGAGACTTTTTTTGGAGGTGGCGATGAAATTTCCTTACAACTATCACTCATCGATGACTCCAAGACCGAGTCTGTATTTGCTTCTGCATTATCCCGAGTTATATTTAAAAAAATTAAAATTTATACAAAATACCTACCAAAGCGGTGTGACGGAGTCTTTCAAAAACATCATAGGTTTTAAAAAACGCCATTCATCTAAGTAGCTCATTCCGCTCCTGATGGCGCTTCTAATCTTTTTATCTTCTTGCAGAAGCGCTCCCGGAGTAGCTTCCATCTATGTCTGCATTCTTGATCTTTTAATTGAAACAAACATACAAAGTATATAATGCAAAAATATATATTCCTATAACAGTGTTAATACCTACCACTTTTACCGCATATTTCTTCAATTGCTTTCCATTGCCTTTTCTTTGTTTGTACGATGGAAATAAAAAGCATCTCGTTTGTCGTACAAACATTTCTTTTTTTTTTTTCAATATTATCTATTAAATTCTGGATAAGGCATTCGTCGTCCTCCATATGATTTTACTTGTTGACAAAAAACTCTTCGTCCTTTTCATTTTCAAATTCAAAATGATGTATCAGTTGACAAAAAGCGAAAACAGACGTACGGAAAATGCAACCAGTTTTCCTTAAGCAAATGACATTTGAAAAAACTGAACGAAACTTGATGTAAAGTACATTATAGTTGCAACATACAATTTGTGTGTATTCGGACAGTTGCTTACGCTGGCTTAAGCTAGCTTATGCACATTATAGTTAGGCCTTTAAGTATGGACTGTAAAACGGCATTAAGAAGTAAAAAATTCTTCCTCACAACAACTTTATAAAATTATACTATATAATATGCATAATTTTTATTCCCACTTACAATCAAATTCATTTATTTCTTATCATTTTTGAATGATAACAGTTTTTATAATTATTTTCCCACATATTTAAAGGAAGATCTCGAAATCAAATTTTTTAAAATTAAGTACAATTGGCTCTACTTTAGTAGCAGTAATAGAAACTCCTTATTTAAGGAAACTCCTTAAATAAAGTTAAAATTTTTCATTATACAATATAAACTGCTATGAGAGATGACGAGTTATAAAAAAGGTCAACGGTTTAGTCTAAAAGAACGAAAAAAATTTCTCCTCTTTTCGTAGTCAAACTGTGTGTTTTTCGAAATTGAGAATATTAATATTTAATATGTAAATTAGTAAAAAATTAAAAATCTAGCTTTTTGTAGACAGCCATTCAAGGTTTGGTACCTGATGAATTCTAAGTGTTCTATATCGGGTTTTTGATAGATATTTGCAAAACCGTTACCATATTCCGCTTTCAGTGTGCAAAACTAAGGCAACAAATTAATATTTTGTACAATAACCTTTAGCTTTTATAACATATCTACGGGACATTGATGCTATTAATTTGTCGATTGTGGTTTGCGGAATATTTCTACATGCCAATTTTTTTAACTGTTATGAAGTTATTTGTGGTTGCGGAAGCGTGTACCCGAAACAATCTGAACAGCTCAATCGCTGGACTGGAACGCAATCGAAAACCTGAAATGCATGTTTCCCTAAGAAAATTTTTTATCTTTATCTTATTTTTTTTTTTTTTTAAGACCAACACCTCTTCTGGAAAAATAAGTGCAAACCATATTTTAAACTTGTCTTACAATTCCATGGATCGAGAAGTTTACCTTTATGACTTCGAACTGTACAGTGTACACGTTCCGGCAGAATTATCGGATACTTTTGTGAAAACCCTATATGATTATTTATGCGGTTGCACCTTTTTCATATGTTTTTTCACTGCTTCATAACATATTTATATCGTTTTCAATTAGTCGTCTTCGCACTATACTTGCATCAACGTTCAAAATGAGAGTATTTACAACCTCGTTCGATGTGGCTAACAATTTTTTTTTTTTGGTTGAAAATTCTACACAACTGCATATCACAGAGTTAGTTTTCTCTGTTAAGTTTTTCAATAAGTTTGCAAAGTATAGATCTGTTAATTTTATAATTTTTACTAATTTTGTTTTGTGATTCTCTATTATCAAAATCTCTTATTATGCACTTTTTAAAACTATCACAAATATAAGCCAACATACAGTTATGTAAACCATTTCCGTGCTCAACTTTATCTAGCTGAAAATAGCAATTGAAAGTATTTGAGCATTTTGCCTCTTTTGTTTTGCTTTTTGTTTGTATTTGATTACAACAGAATGTTCATATAAGGTATTTCAACTTCATAATTTTATTTTCCAAAAGAAGAAAATAATAAGAAGTACTAAATGAATTTATTATTTTCCGTGGTTCTTAAATTTTATTAAAATACTGGAAAACCGTGGCCTCAAAAATTCTGAATTGCGGTCAGTTCTTCATACAAACTGAGGTTATGTGTCGCCGGTATTTCAGAACATTAGTAGTCTTACATACTTCTAATTTTTCCGTAACATCTCTTCTAAAGCTTAACTCAGTGTTAACAAGTAAGGAAGGGCTAAGTTCGGGTGTCACCGAACATTTTATACTCTCGCATGATAAAGTGATAATCGAGAATTCAGGCGTGGTTGTGAACCGATTTCACCCATATTTGGTACATG